GAAAAAAAAATCTATCAGATATTTTGTGGAAACATTAGTGTATACGAAAAATCGAAAATAAAAAATTTTGTCTATCGTATGTATTCTGAATGATCGGTAGCGTGTTTCCGTAAATTCTCCAGTGAAATATATTCAAAGTGAGGTTGCAAAACACAAATAGCAACTACTCTCTCTCTCTCTCAATCACTTGTTTATTTTTCATTTTAATTCACTATCACCAACATATCCAATACATTCAATCAAAAAACTAAAAAAAATTTCATAACAGTAATTGAAACGTTTTTTTTTACATTGCTCTTATTATCAATTAGAATACGATTTTATTTCAAAGACTATTGAATAAATAGTCTTTTGATTTATTGTCAAAACAAAATATTTCCCTTCATATACGTCTCTTCTATATAACCAGGATAAGTAGAAAGTAACATTAAATTTAATTGGTTTATTAAATTTCCTTTTAATCAATAACAAAATCCTTGTCAATGAAATTTATTTCCTGCATATTTCCAAGTGATTACGTCATACTTAACATGACAGCTCTCTAGGAAACGGTGAATCGTATGCAACGGCATTGTGAGTACAGCAGTCTCTACACGTGGTGATCAAGATGTGGTTGACACAACTACACAGAAACACACCTTTTCCCATCGCAGAATCGAAAAGTATAGTGCACGTTTGCACTGAGTTCAACGATCTGCTGAGAATGCTGGTAGGACACGAAGTTGTTGTGAAGTTTAAGGTGATGTCTGATGTCAGTTTTCAAAAGAATTTAGAAGCACGTTCAATGAACCATTACATCTGTGTCTAATTTCAAACTAGTTAAATTCATTATCAATATATTTCATTGATTCTTTAATTGAATGTTATACTCGACTGATTATAGATTACTGAATCAGAAATACTATCGGGTGATAATTTGCCAGACAATAGAAATCTGATCAAAGTTGACGAAATACGAAACTAGCTCAGTATACACTGAGCTATATTTTTTTCTACTTTTTCCTCATTTTTAATCTGGTGTTCTCTATGCTAGCAGGAGTATCAAATTTACTTCACGGTGGGTCTAGATACACGTTTTCGTATCAGTGGATTTGGGTTACCCAAAATGTCCAATCAATTGCGTTCAGTTTGGCTCATCAAGGTTTTTTTTCAACCAACTTTTACTTATTTCTTTGCTTTTGCCATATGTACCAGTGTTAATCATTACTTTCTTTCAAAGTTTTTTTAGATTAATTCAAAGCAACTATTTAGATACTGAGTTCTGATGCTGCTAAACGATTGATTTATCATTTCCATCAATGATTATCATTATCTAAGAAGCAGAGTAAATTGAAGATCTTGTTGTAGAATTGGATTTTAACATTGATGACAAGTTTAGCATTGAAGTTTTTGATTTTTAATGCAATTTAAATTCTAAGATGTTCATAAAATATTATCCTTAAAATTAAAATATCTTATTACTAAATCAAACCCAGTCTCCGCACTCTATAGATCACATGTAGAGAACGAACAACTACACATGAAAGGTAGTATACTATTTCTTTTTGTCAATCCATTGGACATTTTATCCGATACTATTCTACCAATACATTGTACAATAGCTTACAAATGTTACCAACTATCGACAATGCTTCTTGACCTCTATCTCGATATACTGTCTTGAGGAAAGAAATCTCGTTAAAATCAAGAGTCAATAAAAAGGGATTCAATCAAGTAGACGAATATAAAAACAATTCAGAAATAACTTGGTCATTCAATCAAAATACATACTTCAAATAAATGGTTCATGGAATATTAAAAGATATACCATCCAGAGAATCATAAAGAAAAAATGATTAAAAATAATGATGAATTTAAACCACAAAAAACTCTAACTTTTTTAAGAGAAACTTGAAAAAAATTATTTTGTATTTTTTCATGTGCAAAAAAAAATTTGAAAGTCTAAATAAAAGATGAAGAAAGTTGAGAACAGATTTATGATTTTCAAGATCTTCAACATTATAAGACAAAATCTCGTGATCTGCGTAAGAATGTACCAGCATTTCTTCATGAGAACCAGCATCTTTTTCTTCTTTCAGTTCTTCACTTCTCAAGTACCATCCACTTTCCCATTATTGCGATAAGGAATAACAAATAGTGTTGAGTGAGCCATACAGACGATGGTCTTTCCCAAAAAATCGATCGAATTAGAATGCCAACACGTATCTAACTTTTAAAGACTCACAGAAGCTTACGTTACCATCATATTCTTTTATGAAGTTTCTAAATAATTTTCAACTTTGACGGTTATTTTAATGATTAGAAACTCGCTGAGAGATAAAGCACAGATAAATCGGTATTTGATTGCACTTGAAGAAAAGTTAGATTTAGATTTAAATTTAGTAATGAAAATTTTTGTCCCTTGCATAAGATATAAATTGGGGTTTACATCAGTATTATGCAAATATTTCGCCCAACCAGCAAAGAATGTTATTGGATTTTTCTCAGTCGATCAAATTGAATTCCAAAGCTATAGTGAATCCCTCGATTTTATTTAAAATACCATAGGCAAAGTTGAATTCTTTACGTTTTTTTTTCTTTCATTTTTAACAGAGATTGGAAAATTTTCTTTATCAATCCACAAATTTATGTCAATGATAAAGATGATGAAGAAAAAAAAAGCTACATTGACATAACTATATCATTGAATAAAAAGTCGTTTCTGACACTGTTAAATGAAGTAAATAAAGTTTTCTCGTTGTCACCGACCATTGAAATTATCAACTGTAAATTCAACATCAGCAAAAAGTGCATCCAACCGTAATTTCCTTTTCATTACATCGTCTGCAGTTCTATACTCTTCGTGCAACATAAATATAACTTGAAAAATAATCTAAATATAAAATAAATATTCAAAGTACAACAAAAGTTATAAAAAAAACAGACATTTCCGAAGTTTCATTCTTTCACTAGAAACTTTAGAAGCTTGGGAATTCATTGAAAGTGATCCACGAGACAATTTAATGCTCCTGAGGCACTTTTAAACTTTTTTTTTTTCAACTCATAGTCTGAATCTTGACACTTCTTTCAAGTCTTTACCCTAAGGGTAAATATTCACTTAAAAGTAACTTCAATTTTACATCTTAATTGTTTCCAATGCTTTCAAATATTTTTGAGCTTATCGTTATAAATTTCATCTTTATTGAGTAATCCGTGATTCCAGGATCGCAAGTGAATCTGGAGATAAATTTCAAAAATATCCCGTAGAGGTGTTATTCTGGATTATTATTATATTGAGTACTGGATATGATACGTGTTTGGAATTTACTGGAGAATATAAATAGATATTTTTACTGTCTGTATGAAAAAGTATCATCTTATTGGTACAATATTTATATCTAGATGTATAAAAATATTTTTCGAATATAGTTGTAAATAAACTTGGAACATTTATTTTTATAATTCCACAAATACTAAATTTATTGAAATAACATTTTAGTGTATAATTTTGAAGAATTTTCTTGTATTTACTAAATAATAATATTTTATGACTTAAAAAGCTTTTGTCAATGGAAATAAACACCTTCAATTGATCAAAATTAGTAAAAAAAAATCAATTTCTCCATCAATCCCCTAAATAACTTAAAAAATTTATTAAGAAAATTCTTTATAAACTACTTGTACCAATAATTAGTGTACGATACATTTTTCACAACCTATAATTAATCAGCTATTAATTTATGATCAGACTGTTGTTGGCCAACATCTAAACTATTAATGTTGGAATATATTAAAGCAAGTCTGGAGTCATCTCAAAAGTATCTTTAAGCTACCCTGAGATATTTAAAATAACTTCAATGTCAATCCTTGTTCAAGAAATGAGTGGACTTCACGAAAGTGAAGCAAAAAAGAAATTGGTGGAAATTCTGGAAAGGGAAGCAACCATAAAAAATACTTATGTATGGAAAAAATCGGTACAATATGGGGTACTCCAAAAAATAATGGAACATTCGAAAAAGTAAAAGGATACTTCATATAAAAAAACTTTTTTAATTTTCTATTTGTTTAAAAATAAATTTTTGATGTCTTCATATTGCTTTAGTTCTCTCTACAAAGAATATGCACTACAAATCTTGATTTTAAAACGTACAATGTTTTTACACTGCCAAACGTGCGAGAAAGGACTACAATGGTAATTAACAGTATTATCTTTAATTGAAATTCGATTTATTAGTCATTAATATAGCAATTAAATCATAAACATGATATATTAACAATAAATAAATTAACATTTTAAACACACTTGACCGTGTAAAAATAAAATGTGTTTACAAATCGAGATTTGTGGTGTAAAAAGAAAAGCATATTGTTAACTAAAAATGATGAATAAAAAGTAATGTAATGTAATAGGCAAACCAACTCTATAAGCTCAAGAGAGAGAGCAAGAGATATCAATAAATTATAATTTTATTATAAACAAAACCAGTAGTTGTAACTTGTATTTCAAATCATCAAAAAAAATCTCTTAAAATAATCTGATCAGCTTAGAACTTGAAAATAAACTTTTCAAGATCTTAAATATTTTATTCCATTATTTCAAGACCTAATACGAAAGCTGTACTACCATTAAAGACCACTACCATCTAAAAGTTCCACTGCGGTGAGAAGCTTTTGAATGTGGCTACGCATAAACTATGAACAAGCCGCAAATTTGGGAAATAGAACGTGCTTAGCCCCTTACATACACTTACCAAGGTTCATACATATATGTCAGTGTTCTATTTCTGATCGATATAATATATAATGGAGTACATTAGATATTCTACACGTTATCTAGGTCCTCGGTAATTATACTACGGAAGTTCATTTAACGAGAAAAACTTGAGCCTCGTCTAATTTATGTAAAAGGAATTTTTGTTCCATCTCATTTGTATTTTAATGGTCATTTAATCAATAAAAGTGAGGGATGGTGATTTCTATCACATGTTTGATGAAAAAAAATGGCTGATAAATTAACTCACCCTTAAATTTTCGAGCTGCGAACGGACGAATTCGGGACTCGCTACTGGAAACGAACCCATATACTGCAACAAAAAAAAATGAAGAGATTGAAAATCATTTTTAATTGATTCAAATAAACCGTTACATACAAATCGTTTAAAGCAATTAAATTGAGCGAATAATTCAGAGTTTTTATCATAAAATAAATTGCATAATACATTTTTTATTATTAATCTCACTGACATCTAAACCATTTTTACAAAATTCAATTCTATCACCAAATAATGACATGGTTCAATAGTTGAGCTATTGAACAAAAAATAGATTAATTGATAATACAATAAATTTATTTTAGAATGTTTTTCATCTTCATCTCTGCTCATTTTGTTGAAATTTTAGTGACATAAACAAAAAAGCAAACCATTATTAAACACATTGAATTCAAACAATATTTCATTGATGTCATGTAATTAAGTATAGAGGTAATTGAATAAAACGTGATTGGATTTACCGGTGAGGAACACATTTTCGAGTGATCCTTTACCTTTGAAATGGAATTCAATCATAAAATGGATACATAGCAATACGATTGTTTCATCCACACATGACCATAATGACATGAGAATTTATTGCCACAGGTCAAAGTAATTAAAAGTAAGTATTTCGTTTGATAAAAAATCAATAATTTTTTTTAGAAATATTCTCATTTACTTTCATTAGATTGAAAACAATTTAATTCATAATTTTATCACTGAAAATTTATGTAAATTAAAAAAATGTGTGTTAAGTGTGTTCGATATTTTGTAGTCATTTTTTACACACTTTAAGGTGTGTTGAATTTTATAATTTAATAATGAAAATTTAATACTTAACACACTTCACGTGAGTTATTTTAACAGACTCTTAATACTTTGGATTTGCACACTAAGAAAAAAATTTCGTTAAATAAAAGAATTTTTTGTTTAATCAATAAAAGGAACTTGAAGTATTCTCAAGATACTATTTTATTCGATCCAATAATATTGTTATCAAAAACACATTTTGACATTTGTTTCAATGCTACGGCAAGTATGAAAACAAATGACATTTTATTCATTGGATTAAATAAAATAATTTTAATAAAATATTTATAATTTCGAAGAAATATTCCATTGCGATTATTTGAAATTTCAATGTTAATGATCGAATAAATAATTTTTTGTATGATTGGTTTCACTTTTAGATCAGTAGAAATAATTCGATCACAATGCTCTTTAATTAGTTCATTTATTCTCACTGCAAAATCAATTATTCATATTTTATATAGTGATTCACTTAGTTAAATTTGTGTATCTTTTAAATGAAGGATTTTCCAAACATTTTTTTATGAATTCTTCATAACTTCTTTTGAAATTAATTAATTCTAAAAATCTTGAACATATTATTACTGTGAAATTAGTGAACATATAATAGTGGAGTTCATTATTTATTTTTCATCATTCAACTGATTGAAACAGTAAATTTTTATTACTATACAGTTCACGAGAAAGAATTTAAAATATTTTATCAACTTCAAAGTCTTCAATTACAACTTTGATATCATATGTTGAATTCAAATTACAAGTATATCATTATACATATAATTTCAGCCCATTTTCGACTTCAATTTTGTTGTTTCGTCCGCTTTAATAAAGTTGAGGTTAAAAGTGGATTTTACAAAATTTATTTTGAACCTAAAAAATGTATCAATGCCATACAAGCAATGTTATAAAAATTTATGATGACACTAATGACCAAAATAAGATTTTTAGATCAATTTAGGTTATCAAAATCTTCAATGAAGTTGATGATACCCAAAATGAAATTAAATTATAGACGGCAATTGAAACATCAAAGAAATGAAAAATTTTGAAGTTGAAACTGAACTTTAAATTTAGTCTCGGTTTTTACTGCAAAGTACTAATTTTTTTGTACATAAAAAACTTATTATTCATTAAGAGAAAGTATCCTGATTATTTAAATCAAAAGGAAAAATATTTACATGAATATTAAATGACTTCATCCACATTTATTTAAGAAAAATTACAAAGTTAATTACAGAGTAATTATCATTATAAAATTTCCCTCATGTAATGTCACATTCACTTTTACCGCGAATATTTGAATAATTTATCTGCTCAAGAGGTAGAAAGAGTGAGAGTAAAAGTGTACTTGACACGAGACAAGTGAACTACCAACAACTTTTAATTTCAATCATTGTCACTAAATGATAGGTCATTTTTTCAGCTGAATTATGGATTTGACATATAAAGCATAAATTTATTACAGAATATGTCTGATAATATCATAGGTACGATGAATGTTATGTATATAGAGGTTACATATTCACACTATCTGAGGTTATTTAATTATAATAAATTTATCCCAGATATACCCTGCATCACGTCATGACCTCTGAACTCTGAAGGCTTGTTCAAGCCATCCTACCTGACGTTGTCTGCTTCAGTCGTGAATTTTAATGATCATGCAAGACGCAGAACAACTTTGCGATGAACTGATTGTATATGTTAATAAACTTCTACGATCAATTACAATCCCTTGGCAAGTAAATAAATCCTAATTACTGAAATGTCCAGTTTTATATAAGCCATTCATTCGATTTAATATTCTTCAAATATACCCAAGTCACACAACAGAGTCAACAGAAAAGAAAGTTGTGACAATCAAATGAAATATTTCATATATTGTTTGACATTTTGCAATATTTGATTAACTTTCATGTTTGTATCCAATGTCGATTTATATATAAAAGCCTCAAGGATTTTATATTGCAAAGAAAAAGATGTTGAAGAGGAAGAGGTAGTCGGATAAAACGCAATATATAACGGCGTCGGAGGGCCTAGGACAAGAATTTCATTTCCCTTTCTTACTTTATACTCTGCCTACTGAGACATTGCTTTTCTCATAAGAATTGTCATTTCTTTCCTCGCTTAATTTCGAACGACATCACAGTTCTGAATCACTAGATGATATTTGACTGTTATAAATATCAAAAATATTAATGTATGTAAAATTATCTGTGTAAAAAAATTGAGAGACAAGAAAATTTATTAGACTTGGAGTTGATGAAACATAAAAATTAAGTTATTTCTTTTTTATATTTTTTTGTCTGACGAGTAAACAGAAGACAAAATGAAAGAATGTCTAGGTCGGAAGTACAAGTAATCATAAAATGATTTCAATGGTATAAGGAAAAGTTAAATCACAAATATTAATTCAATCATTGTATGCTTTGATAAAATATTTGTCTTATATAAGTTAATGATTTTTCAATCTATTGTATTACGTTTTGAGGGATTGAAGCAACAAAAAAGTCCATTTGATGAAAGAATTTCTCATTTAATTGATTAAGGGATGGTTGCGTGTTTTTCCTAAATCTGATTAGTCAGCATGTCCGGCTAAAAAATTGTCCATCAACGTTTTTATTCCGAAACCACTTTCATTTACTTCGAGCCAAGACGTTGGACAAAATCAAGTGATAAGTCAACTCATTAAATATTTTTAGTTTATTTTAAAGTAAACCATGAAAATTACCTCGAGTTTATTATTACTTATTTTTATCATTCAAGTATTTTTATCAGAGCAAAAATTTAAAATAGTTTCAAGTTATACAGATGATTCATTAGTTAATGAAGCAATGGTAAATAACATTTTGTGAATTCTTTTATTGCAAAAAACAATGATGCAAATTGTTTGTATAAATTACTTGTTATAATTAATGATTTTATTGTGATCATTTTAGAAACAAATATTGAAGTTGAAAAAAGAGTATAATACTTTGCTAATAAGTGTACGTCATACAAATCCTAGTTTGCAATGGCTAGAAGAAGTACAAAAAAATTCTTCAATAATTTTGAGTAAAAATACAGTAGAACCTTTTGACAGACTGGACTATTTAGACAACAAAAGGAAAATTAATGCCATGATTGTCTTTATGAAAACACTGAAAAATTTCAAGACAACTCTTCATAAACTTCAGAGAATTATATTGAAAAATGTGATGATACCAGTTTATATTGTGAGTGAAAGAAAAAATAATTCTTGTAAAATTGCTACATCTGTTTTACAAACTATATGGAATTATGGGATATTAACATCATATTTCCTATGCTCACACCCACAAGCAATAATAAAAATTTATACCTATAATCCATTCACTGACCGAGCACCAAATCCATGGAATCAAGTACACAAATTTGAAAACAGTAATTGGACAATTTATGAACGACAATACATAAAAGGTGATTATTTCAAGCTTTAAATTATTTGTAATCAAATCATTTGTATTCCAATTTTAAATTTATCAAGTTTTTTTCTCTTCCCAGGACAAGAGCTTAATGAGTTTGATTTTGACCGGACAAAATATCTTGATGGTCACCAAGTAACAATAGCATGTCGACCATCTCCAAATGCTGCTTTTTTTTCTGGAAGATTCTTGGACCAAAAAACTTTCCTTGAGAACGAAGATTCATTTTATCCAGATTCTTTAAGATTCGTTGACTCTCTTTCTCTAGCCCTGAACATATCATTTAGGATATACATTTATCACGACAGATGGTACAATCAAAAATACATAGAGTCATTAGATAACTTTGAGAAAGATGTTTTTAGAAATTCTTCAGCTGCAATACTATTGATACCACGTCAAATATATGGAGATAGACTTTTTAAAACATTATATCCCATACAAGCTTCACACTTTGGAATTATTACATATCATCGAGGCTATCAAACATTGGTAGAAAAAATTTATGGTTTTTATGGAACATGGACATTTTTGAATACAATTGTTCTTTTACTAATAATCTTTATCTTCATATGGTTCAACGAAAAAAGAAATATCGCATTTGCAGTGTTTGAAATACTGCGGTTGATAATCAACAATTCTCTTCAAACACCAATGAGCAGTTTGTCACGTCGGATTTTTTTTGGTACAGTTTTGATGTATTTTTTAATAATACAAGCGACATTTAATGGCCACTTGGCGAAATTTTTGACGAAACCTCAACTGCGAAAACAAATAGATACTTTGGATGATTTAAAA